GTTGAATTTTGCAATAGACTTTCCACACCGTATGTTTCCAATAAGCACAGTTCATATACTGATTGCGGTATTAACATACTAACACAGCATCAGGTGTGATTGAGAGCTGTGCAAATGTACAGAATCTACTTGTATGCGCTAATGCGCGTCGGGTGAAACATTTCAAGTTTGGGGAACTTTTGGAAAACTATTTAGTTGCAGAAAAAGTTTTTCATTGAGGAATCCAATAAACGAAATGTGACTCTTGTAGCAATAAGAGGATAGGCTTTTTACAGGGTTTCTGTTATTTATTCATCAATAGAAAGTACCAAAGCAGCTTGGCCTTTTATTTAAGTATACAATTCGTTACTTTTTCAATAAAAGCTGCTTCTATTAAATGATGATTAACAAAGATTAGTTCTTTAGATGACTTTTTTTTTTGTGTATTAAGTAAATCAATTTCTCTTTCGCTTTCTGCGAATGTGTAAGTGAAAAAAGAGACTACGACTTTCCCGTTATTTTAATAGTAGAGAGAAATATTTTTAAAGAATTTATCAATGTTACGGAAAAGTTTTCTCTTTAGCGGCAAATTCTGCACCTCTGGGGACTATGTTCAAAGTGAACAAATACTCTTTCAGTAATTATTGAAAGTCTACGTTGGAATTCATTTTATTCTTTTCTCAGTATTTCTGAGGGGATCACAGCATTGTGTTAATAAATACCGTAAGTTTTCAATATCCCGGTAGTGATAAAGTAATAGCACAAATTTTTTTCAGGGTATTCATAACTTATTAGGATCTCCATAATACACACTGCTCCGAGTCAAAAAAGATTAATCAGCTACAGGACTTCCTTCGTTACATTAACCAACAATATTATTTCTTATCATTTATGAGAATTGAAATTATGACAGTTGAACTCAACTTATTTTTACAAGATATTTATAATATGATAAGATGATGATAAAATTCATTGAATGAATGTTCTATGTCATAGAGTGATCGATGAAAAATACATGATAAGACATAACTAATATACTACCAGACATTGTATATAAAGTATAATAGAAAAAGAAAAACAAAATATTGCTCATCAATTTTTCCATTAAGATTATTAATTTGTATAACTTTAAATAGAATTTTGACTTTTGTGTTGATTTGATTATATTTTTGATTTAGTTATGTATTTATTTTTCTTCTTGTTTTAAACAGGTAACAATTAGTTCACTGTTAATCGTATTCATTACCTCATCTTGTTTTTATCTTTTCTTTAACAATAAAAATAACAATAACAAACTAACAAACAAACAAAAAAAAAGAAGAAATCGATTTTATTTGTTGTTTTTTTGTTTTTTTTTAGTTTTTCGTTATGAAATTTATTTGATTAGAAATTGAATTGAAAATCATAACGATGGTAATGATGATTGGAATAATATAATTTTTATTGATGATCATTCAAGAAAAAAATAATTACCAGCTGATTTTTGTTCCATATCCTAATAAACAAAAAAACAATAATTAAAAAAAGTCTTTTTTTTTTTTTTATTTTATTAAATTTTACTTTAACGGAATCTCTTTTATTAATACGTGGTCGAGCATTTTCTGGATCTCGTCGAAATGTTATTTCAAGTTGTCTTAAAAATGAATTCATACCAGGTACAAGTGCTTGTGGCCTAAAAAAATTAATATTCTATTTTGTTATAAAAAAATAATTTCAATTAATTTTTTCATACTCAGAAGCATGAGCTTTAACTGATGGTTGTCCATCAAAAACAATAACACGATCAGCCAAATATGTTGCCATAATAAAATCATGTTCAACAACAAAACCTGTTTTCTTACAATGAAGAATAAATCTAGAAGAAATTTAAATTTATAGAAATCTTATTATTTGTTTGTTTTGAAGTTTTATCTTTTAATTTTTTTACCGTTTAATAACTCGTGCAGCATGTAAACGTTGTTCAGAATCAAGATAAGCTGATGGTTCATCAATTAAATAAACATCAGCTGGTTTTCCTAAACATAAACATAATGCAACACGTTGTAATTCACCACCAGATAATTCTTGAACCTTAAAATAAATATTTTAAATTAATTAAAAATAAAATGAATTTTTATTAAAAACAAAAAAAAAAAATTATTTACTTCTTGATCAATAATATTATCAATTTGAAGTGGTCGTGAAACATCCGTTTGAAATTGTGGATGAAACATAGCGTCACGAATTTTTGAATGAAGTAAATCACGAACTCTACCACTAAATTTTGGACTAATCTTTTGTGGTTTATAAGAAATATTTAATTGAGGAATTTCGACTAAAAATTTGAATAAAATATAAATTCAATAAAGTTAAATGATATCATCTTAAACAAAAAAAAATCATTCCTCTATACTTTGAAAAGTTAGTAGGTTTCTATCTGAAATATGTATTTTTTAGCTTCGACTTTCATCTCACGAGGGGGGGTGTCTAACCCCATATTCAGTCATTTATATCTCATTTGATAGATTATATTGAGATAAGAAAAAGTTTTAAAGAGTTCGGACTCATGACTTACTGGCAAAGAGTTATGGTTACTATTGTGCTGAAATATTTATTGAGACCTACTCGTTCCCGAAAAAAAAAATGAAGAGTTTTGCTCTGAAATTTTTGTGTATAATCTTGAAGGTTTTAACCAAAACATACATGTCTTTCTCGAGAAGTTCAACTTTCAACAAAAAAAACAAAACAATGAAGGACAGAGCAATTGAGTCTACTTGAAAATTGAATAACTCGAGAAAGACATTCGTTCTCATTTGAAATTTTGAAGACGATCTAATGACTATTAAATCTATTTATAGACGAAATTTCAAGCAAAAAGTCCTAATTATAATTTTTCTGATAATAAGTGTCTCTCAATAAAAATTTTATTACAACAGCCATAGCTCTTCAGTAATAGGCCATGACCTCGAACCTTTTTTTAAGGCTTTTTCTTGCATTAATATAATCTATCAAATGAGATATAAATGAATCAAAAGAGAGCTGAACACTTTCCTCGTCTGTATCTTTCTTTCCATCAGAGATGGGATCGGTTCAGCTGACAGCATTTCAAATCAACTTCGGTTTCATTTTAACTTTGAAAAATCTAAACCGATCTCATTTCTGTTTTCGATTGGTATTGAGAAATGCGTTGTTTTATCTTGGTCTAGAGGAAGTTATTTAAACATACATTCGTGTGCCAAAATTTACAAAGTTTTAAATACAGATTTCTTTTTTTGATTAATTCAATTGATGAATGTCATTGTACTTTGATAGGGATGATTCATTTAAAATATCAGAACATTTAACTATAATCTTTAGTCTAAATTTCAATAAATCTTCAAATTTTGATTAACAAACAAAAAGAAAAATTTAATATTTATAAATGAACTAACCTCCACTATCAGGTTCTAAATTTCCAGCTAATATTCGAATCAAAGTTGTTTTACCTAGAAATAAATAAATTCAAAAATTTAAATTAATTTTTTTTTGTAAAATTTGCTTTTTTACCAGTTCCATTTTCTCCAAGTAAAACAACAATTTCCGATTCTGTAAATGATCCTGCATCAACAGATAAACTAAAAGAACCTAATGTTTTTTTCATAGCTGGATAATAATGTGTTGATAAACGTTTAACTTCTTCTTCAGATGCTGTTTCAACAACTTTAAATGTTAGTGCAACCTCACGAAAACGTAAATTTTCTGTTCGAATAAAACCTTCCAAAAATATATTAATACCTTAAAAAAAAAATCATTAAATCTTAACAATAAATAAATCATATTTTTTATTTCTATTTAACCTTCACGAACAGAAAAAGGCATTGTAACAACACCATAATGACCAGGTGAACCATATAAAACACAAATAAAATCGGACAAATAATCGAGTACTGAAAGATCGTGTTCAACCACAATAATATATCTTTAGAAAAAACACAAACCATAAAGTTCAGAAACGAACGAATATAATAGATCAAATGAAAATCTCTTAGTATTTTGATCCGTGTCTTCTTGATTGCGAGCGATTTTTCTTAATTGGAGGAAAAATATGTCCGCAAAGCAGAATCGTGGTAGAGAGATGAAAATGTCCGCATTATAGAATCAAGAAAAAAGTAGAAATAGTAAGAAAATTAGTACAGACAAATCGATTCTATCGACGATATCAGCTCTATCGAGCTGGTGTAGCGCTGGACGGACAGGTATCGTCCAGGTCATCTTTTTTCACTTTATACCGTGAACGAAAGTATTTAAAGAGATAGAAATAGTGTGGGTGTGGACAAGAATATCACACCCTACACCCACATCCACACCCTGAACCAAAGCATAGTCGAATGTTGAATCATCTCGTATTACTTGTATTTTTGTCTTTCTTCACATAATAAATTTTTTCTTGATTGTATAATGCGAACATTTTCATTCTCTGCCTCGATTCTACTTTGCGGACAATTTTAAAAATGCGTTCATTTTTGTGTATACCCCCTGATTCTGTTGTGCGGATATTTTACTTTAGCTGGTTAAAAAAAAGTATCCGCATTGTAGGTGTAGTCATTTTGATCATGGGCAGAAAGAAATAGAGACCAGCATTGTATAGTTCTATGATCTTGTCTGGCTTATATTAAGTTCAAAATTAACGGCTCATCTATTTCATCAGATAGTTTCGATATTGAAATACAAAGAAAAAGATCGATAGTCGAATATAGAATTTGATAGATCTAAACTCTAATATTGACAAGAACAACAAATGAGAATTCTTGTTTTGATTCAGAATAATATCCGATATCTGCTTTTTTTGTACAAGATGAACTAATCCTAATCTGCGAAACAACTAGACAAGATCTTTTTGTTTTCATCTCCAGTGAAAAAAGTCCAATTAAACGAAACATGAATACTTAGATAGATTTTTATTCAATCATAACAAATAAAATTGCTCATCATGCAGTAGGTCTTCAATCAAAAAATAAATATGAAATCTTCGATTTAAGATACGATCCTATAAACTAACTAACAAGAGAAGTTCCTCCAATTGATTAATTTCTGTTGAGTCAGAATTATGTGCATCCTGTAGACCCTAATGAGTTATGAATACTCGAAGAAGAGTTCAAGTTGTTATCTTATTACTGCCGAGATAATGCATTTTCACGGTATTTTTCAGCGCAATGCCTTAGTTCGCTATCAGAAGCGCCGAAAAAACTGACTTTCGAATTTCGACTGAAAATTTAGGACAGAGACAGATTTTTATGAAAATAGTTTATTATGAAAGTTTCAGGTCTGTTGGTTTGTTTCTTTGCTGAAACAAATACATCAAATCTACCAGTATATATGAGTAATATAAAAGACATGCTTTTACCATAACCGTATAATACGATGGAAACAACCAAAAGATCTAAAACTTCTCTAATAAACTATTCTCAGTGAGACCTGCTTATATGGAAAATTTCAAGTCGAATTTCGAAAATGAGTTTTCCTCGTGTTTGTAAGAAAAACCACAACATTGAATTTAAAACTCTCGTAGAAATGCAGTATTTCCGTAACAATAAACTCAGAGTCCAAAATTTTTCTAAAGCATCCATAGTTTATTAGAGTCTACATGATGTATATAGCCTTGACTCAAAAGTGATTAATCAGTTAGAGAAATTTCCTCGTAAGTCTTCAATTTAATTCACATTGATCTTTCATGCTTAAATACTCGTAGAGATTAACCAAAACCAAAATTCTCAGTTTCGATACATGCCTATATAAAATTATTCTTAATATGATACTCGTTTTCAATTTAACTGCAACAATCAAATTACATATTTAAATTTTCTTATTTCATTTATCAGACTCTTTTAATTTCAATGTTCAAGGAAAGAAAAACATGATTCATCTCTTTAGACAAATAAATATATTCAAAATACTTAACAGAACTAACCGATTTTCTCGAATAACACTCCGAATAGCCAAAGCAGCTTTTAAACGTTGTTTAACATCAAGATAACTGGATGGTTCATCAAACATAAATATATCTCCTTTTTGTATACAAACCATCGCACATGCAAATCTTTGTAATTCTCCACCTGATAAATCAGCTATTTGTCGATCTTTAACATTTGATAAATCAAATGATTCAGTTATTTGATCTTGATTACCCAATTCATCTTTTTTATTTAATAAATCACATACAAGGCCCTAACACACACAAAAAAAAAATATACATATATATATAATTTTGTTTTATTCATCAAATCTATTTTACTTGAGCAGCACGTGGGATTTGATCAACATATTGTGGTTTAAGTATAGCTTTAAGATTTTCTTCAAGAATTTTTGTAAAATAATTTTGTAATTCACTACCACGAAAATATTTTAATATATCTTGCCAATCGGGTGGTGTCTAAATAAAATAATAAAATATAAATTTAATAATATTAAGAAAAAACAAAACAAAAAACTATTTATTTTTCTATACCGAAAATTTGCCCAAATTAGGTTTTAATTTTCCAGCTAAAACTCGTAATGCTGTTGTTTTACCTGTACCATTTGAACCAACAAGACCTAAAACTTGTCCTGGTCGTGGTGTTGGTAAACGATGTAATTTAAATGAATTAGGTCCATAACGATGTGTTGTTTCTTTATCAAGATTACTTGGTAAATTAATAATTGTTATTGCATCAAATGGACATTTTTTTACACAAATACCACAACCAATACATAATTCTTCTGATATATGAGAAATTTTTGATTCAGGTGTTACTTCAATACATAATTTTCCTGTTTTATTAACTGGACTATAATAATATACAAGCAAAAAAAGAAAAAGAATTTAATTGTATATAAAATTTAAATAACAAACCATGATCGTTTACATTCTTGATTACATTTTTTTGGTTTACATCGATCATTATTTACTATAGCAATACGTGTTAAAGATTCTTGTTCACGATCTTGTCTTTCGGGACGACGACCAAACATTTTGTTTTGTTTCTCTTAGAAGAGAAGAGAAATCTATAAAATAATTTATTATATAAGTTTCAAAAGAATTTCAATACGAAGAACAGAAAGAATAATTTCGCAAGAGTAACACATCCAGAGAATTAAGAAATTTACGCAATTTATCGGTTTCAACATAGACAGTACACGTTCGTTGTATAATTTAATAAAAAAATTTTCTCGAATTTTTTTTTTATTAATATTAAATTTCGTGAATCAGAGGTAATATTTATCTTTGTCTCGTAGATAGCGCTTTCAAGATTAATAATTTTGCACAGAGATCGATGAATTTCATCTAAAAAAAATAAAACAAGCAAACCTTAAATTAAAAGAGACAAAAAGTTTTTATCAAATATTTATAAAATGAAAATCTTCAATATAGATATATACATATGGAAATGCATTTTACTAGGTTTTTGGTAACAAAAAAGAAAACAAATCAACAATAAGAAATATTATTATTGGTACTTGACATCAAAAGAACGATGCATTGGAAAGAAAACAAAATAGATTATTATTGTATATGAGTGACCTCTGTCCTAGGGAAAGTTAATTATACTCTTAAACAAATGTAAAGAGATCGAATTTTGTAAATAAGATTCATTCTTTCGTTCAATTTTACATATGCCAACATTGATTATTGATCAAACTATATTAATATTCAGTTTAGTTTTTTTTATAAAACCAGCTGTTTTATTATGATTTCTTTTTTGTTATCATCTATCATATACTCGGTTGATTTCGTGTTTTTTGTTGTTTCTCTTATCATTATGCCTTCTCAAAAGGTAAACATAAGAATTATCTGTATAATAACTTCATTCAACAGAAACGTATCATGCAATCTCCACAAACATATAACTATTTAGTTAATGATAATCAAAATTTTCGTGTATATCCACAACGATTATGGGTTTTATTTATTTTTGCTTTTCTTGCATTCAATCAAACCATGTTTTGGTTAACTTTTTCACCTATTGCTAGTTCTACAGAGAAATTTTATAATATATCCGAAGCTACAGTTGATCTTTTACTTAATTGTGGTCCAATTATATTCTTACCTACACTTCCTGTTGTCTATCTGTTACTTAATACTCATCATGGTCTTCGTAAATGTGTACTTATTTTTGCTATTGTTCCTGTAATAGCTACATTATTACGTCTCTTTCCATTGATAATCACATCATCAACTAATCGAAATTTTCATAATATAGCTCTTCCATTTCTTTTTATTGGTCAAATTCTTATTGCAACTACAGGTCCAATATCTATGGCACTTGTATCTCAACTTTCATGTATTTGGTTTGCTCCATATGAACGAACACGAGCAACAACTTTTGCTATTCTTGGTGCAATTTTAGGTGGTGCAGCTGCATTTGTTATTGAACCACGTCTTGTAATGAAAGCTGAGCATGTTCCTCGTTTATTATATATACATACGGGACAAGCTTTGCTTGCATGTATTCTTACTCTTGTCTATTTTCCTGCTGAACCACCTACTCCTCCATCTGTTGCAGCTCAAATATTGAATGCAAATCGATTAATAAGAACACAATTAATTGAACGATTAAAAAGATTTGCACTTGATATTTTTCATTGTTGTCGAAATATATCTTGTGTTCTTATGATTCTATCGGGTGCTGCCATGGGCGGTACATTTGCTGCATGGAGTGGATTATTTGCTACTATTCTTACACCATTAGGGTATACAGAAATCGAAGCTGGTAAGGACTCTTTTGTGTTTTTTTTTCTAATCGAACAGAATAATCATTCTTTCTAATAACAAAAAAAAATCAACAGGTTGGTTTGGTTTTGGTCAAACAGTAGCTAGTATTATTGGTTCATTGATCATGGGTTATATAGCTGATCTTCCACGATTTCAACGTTCATTTAAACTACTTATACTTATTTCTCTTAGTTTCTGTTTTATATTTTGTTTACTCTTTCAACTAAGTGTTCGTACTATTATGTGGCCTAATAAACCTATATTACCATCAAGTTCCGCTTCGATTGGAATTCTATTATCTATTACTGGTTTTTTCAATGGTGCCGCATCACCTCTTTTTTATGAAAGTTTAGCTGAAATCATGCATCCATTACCGGAATCTTTAACAACATCGATGCTTGTATACTTTTTTAATGTTGTAACACTTAGTTTTCTTGCAATGGCTCCAAATCGATATAAATTAATGAATTTATTAGTACTTTTAATAATTGGAATTTGTATTCTGATGGTTGCATGTAGTCGAATTACATATAAACGTAAAGATGAAGAATTAAGAAAAAAACAAGAACAAGAATATGAAAATACTCCAGATGTATCTGATATTTAGGAAAAAAAACTTTTTGTTTTTTTTTAAATAAATTGTTTAATTAAATTATCTCACACAGTGAAGATGTTATAGATGGTTTTCAATTTCGATAATAAAATCCTTCGATTCTCTCGCACCTACCCACATCCTACATTGTTATAGGCGGGGGCATTCTACTATATATTCATGTAAGAAAACTTTTGATATTAACTATTTTATTAAATTTTAAACACCGTGATCAGAACTTTTCATCAACTTTAAGTATAACAATCCGCACATTTACAATTCAAGCTACTGCGCAATCAGCTGTTAGTTCAAATATCTCGTCAGTATGAATTATCAGATAAATGATGCAGGTTTTTTGACAAAGTTTATAGTGAAACAATCTAAATATATATTCACTTATAGATCATAGACGCTTACATATAAAAGTTTTCAACAATTACTCCCTCTGAAATTGAAAATGGGAAGAAAACTAATTAGTGTATATTGTAGAGCAAGTTCCGCTCTATCGAACTGGGAATATTCCATTGTGGTTCATTTCAACTTTTTGTTTAATTTTTTTGTACACTTTTCATCTCAAGTTCACTACATAGTGAACCAGTGGACAGTATCAAAGCTTTTGAAATCACCAAGGAATCTGGTGCAGTTTTTCACGAGGAATCTGAATTTGTAATTGGTTTTTGAATTTGATCCAATAATAAGGGATTAGCATCATCTTTTTAAATAAGCTACAATCAGTCTTCATATTTTGCATACAAAGGCATAAATAATATTTGGCCCATATCTGTATAAAAATAAACATGAAACACTTACAAATTTATTATCAAAATGATCAGCACAAAAAGCTCGGTAAATTCTGACAGTTTCAACGGATTTAGCGTTGGTCACCGGATCGACTGACGAAACCCCATGAATTTACTCTAAAGCACACATTACTGATAACATCTTTTGTGCATATTAATAAAGTATTTGAGAATCTTTTATTCGTATATTTACCTTACTAATAATGCCAAAATGGATTCATTTACGTGAAAAAATTCATGAATATACATAGTAAATTTCATCATTGAGTAAAACATCAAATGCTGATTTGAATTAATCTAAGTACACAAAGTTGATTGACAGTATGTGTTAGGAAAAGATGATCATAATCAAAACATTTTTTAGTTTTGAGCCTTACCAAAGGTACTATCCATTTGGTTTCTACTCGTCTCTGCTGAGAAAAATCGGAAGAAAGAATGATAGTCACATCCATAAAATCACAAAACGCTATTACAATATGCAAAAGCAATGATAACACTTGTAATCAATGCATATATATATACCGGGTGTTCCAAAAGTTTTGCAAAATCTATCCACCGAAATCAATACTAGATTCCTATGCTAATGAAGATTTCTAAAAATTTTGAAAACAGACAGAAAGATAGAATGTGACAAGCTCTACATTTTAGCAAAAAAGAATAAGAAAACTTTTAGAGTTTTTTATTCAATCAGAAATCAAGACGAAACATGTATTCAATCTAATTTCTGAAAGAGAGATTATTCGTTAGAATTCAAAATTTTATTCTTTTCTGTATTTCTTGCCTAGAATATGTGGTAGAAATTTCGACTATCTAGCTTGCCTTGTCACAGAGAAAATCTTATTTTTTATCTAAAATAATTTCAAATTCCAACTCATCATACATCATACGATTCGTGCCAACTTGGGTTATTCGCCTATAATCACTAATATTTTATGGAGTCTATAGTTTATCTCTATGTGATAAACTGTTTTGCTCTCAAGAAAAGCGCTCTCGAAAAAATCCTGTTAAGAACTGATTAGTTCTTGAAAATCGTTACACTGGAGCCTTGACCAACAGTGTAAAGTGCAGGAAAAATAATATATTTATAGACAATCGACACAGTCCTATCAAATATACTACTCAGATTCTTTTTATTCGAAATTTTTTTTTTTATTGTCATTTATTTGCCAAATCGTACAGTGGTTATGCAATTCACTCATATAAATATGTATATATATATCAATCATTATATTGAATACATGTTTTTTATTGGAGTAAAAAAATAAATGATTAAGTCTATCGAATCCAAACTCAGTGTAAGTTATATATTTCAGAAAATCTATTGAGAAGAAGTTTTTTTTTTATGATGAATCGTCTGGCTGACGAAGACGTCCAATTGGTTTCCAATAGAGTTTATTTTGTGAATTACCTAATGTATCATAATAATAATCTTCAATTTGTGCTCGATGTTCATCACATATATCTTCATCATTTAAAGGTATTTTATATAATGGGTCATATAATCCTTTAGCCGCTATATTAGTGACTTCACGTCCACCAAGTTTTTGTTTAACAAATGTATAAAATTTTTGTTGTACTTCATAATCAGGATGATCATTTGGTGGTAATCCAGCATATTCCAAGATTTTTCCATTTATAGAAACCCATAATGGAAGTGAAGGATCATCTCCATTATGTTTTTGCAGCTCGTCTAGAGAGTAATAAGTATCAGATAGAAAATCTTTAAATGATTGAAAATTTGCTGGTTGTTTTCGAGGTATAACTGGTTGTTCATCTTTCAAACGATTTATATATACTGATTGAACTCCATAATATTCACAACCTTTTACTATAATATCTAAATAACGTTCATATGGAATACTAGATAATTGATCTTTAATATTCATTTGATAAGCATAAGCTGTATGATATTGACCTTGATAATCAATACATTTAATCTTAATTCTATGATAAGTAAATTCAATTTCATCTAAGTGTTTCATCTGTTCATTGGTAAGCAGATGAACAACTCCATGAAATTCGGCATCGAGACAAGCTTCAATATCAGCCATTCCATTAGGACTTCGAAATACAATTTTATGATCCTTGCATATTACAGGATAAGATATGATCGGTGTTAAATCACGAAGATAAAGAGATATTGGATTAATCATACTACCAATAGCAAAATACCAAACAAATATTTGTCCATCAGGTAAAATAATTTCTGCTTGTTCAGGATTATTATTAGTAAGAATCAAATCAATTATTGATTTTTCTTGTGGAATAAGTTTTGAACGTAGAATATTACAAGATAATTTAAAATTAGGATCACTTGCTAATGAATTTAAACGATGAAGCAAATTCGTCATTATTAAAAAAAACAAGAGCTAGTTCTTATCATTGTGAATGTAATCTGTGGCATACAACGTACGACAAAGAACGAAAGAAAACTATAAAAAACAACAATTACATATCTGATTGGATTTTCATTCGAAGTAAATAGCAAACGCCTTTTACAAGACTCATAAGTATAGTCAATTCAAATAAATTTCTATTCTCTTCACATAAGAAGATTCCACATCTTCGATTATTATCCATCAAACTTTTCCACAATCATTAATTCTGTCTTCGATCGTGTCACATGAGCCCTAAGCTGATGTCACCTAAATCATTAGTCCATATTATACCATTTCTTCTATATATGACACAGTAAGTTGTCTATAGATGTTCTTAATTACGAATGAAATAATTTGATGCACCCTTTCTACATATATCTTCTTCTGCTTGTAAGAAAAATACAAAATTTCCTATGAAGCGACCTCTTCCAAGAATCTTCTAACATAGGAAAATATTTAATTATAAAGAAACGAAGAGATATTTCACTAGCAATTAAAATACAAGATTTATTGTAGTTTTATTGATAAAAAAAAAAAAGATCTGTGCTTTTTAGAAATGACGGATTGCTCATTATATAAATGTCACATGATTAATACAAAAAATAAGTGCTCATTTAATCAAATATTAAACAAAGAAACTGAACATTATTTATAGGAAATATGTTTAATATTCATTGCAAAAACAAATACATGATCTTCACAGTTTTAGGCAGTCGAATACTGATTTGTTTTGATCAATTTTGCCAAATTAAAAGAGAATTTCACAGACATAATCTGAAAAAGTAGCACACAAGTCAAATATATAGCTAAGCAATAAACTTACCATAGCAGATGCCATCACTACAAAGAAAATCCCAAGAAGTACAATGATTAGATACGCTTGACTAGTAGCATTAAAAACAACAGTTAATGCCCTAATAACTAAGATAATATAACCAAAAAAGATGCATATTGCTATACAAAGAATCACTCCAATTGATGCAAACTAACATTTAAAAATAAGAATAAAAATAAAACAACTAAAGAATATAAAATAACATACTATAAGTAATCCAATTCGATGTTGTTTATATGTAACTACAAGACCAAATATATAATAGAGAGTTAAAACAATCCCTAGTATCAATAATCTAATTCCATTTGAAATATCAACAGAATTTCCAAATAATATTGCAGAAGAGCCAACACCAAAAGTAATAATACATACAAACTATACAAATATTGATTTTTATAAAATGTTCTTATAGAACATTTTGTTGAACTTACTAATTGTATAAAAAGAAGGATAAGAAGATATTTCTTAATACGTATTATATTCTGATCATGATCAGATAATGATTGGTCGATTTTCTCATATCCATTTATTGGTAAAGTTATGTCTATTTCAGGAGGCATCTTGAAAAAGAATCTTTGTATAACATGTAATTGATAATGTTTTTCAAAAAGAATATTCTTGCATTTACTTTATTATTGATGCACGTAACAGCTGTCATTAATTTTAACTTGTTTCCATTTTATACTTAGAAACAATGATATATTCTGATATTTATTGTTTGCTGTCGATCAATTTCTATATGGAATAGAATATTCTAATGTGTATCAATGAAAATGAATTAAATCATATTTTCTTTCTAAAGTCGAAGAACGGCATGGAATGGAGCTTACCATTCAGTCATTATGAATTAATCAGTTAACTAATGGAAATAAATTGGTTGATCATCGATATGAAAAATAAAAAGTGAAAATTTCTGTTCTCTAATATGAATGTTGTCGATGATTAGAAATTTAAATTGATTATGTCAAGGAAAAGTTTTGTCATTACAAGATAGTTTGCTAATTTTAAAACAATTTTTAAAAGATTCTTAGTTCTAGTTGGAAGAGTTTCAAGTTGTTATGACAATCTTTTTAATTCTTTCTCTATCAATAGTTCTGAAGAACTGATTTCCTTTGATCAACACATAAATAGATAAAATGAAAGTGCACGCCATTGCCGATTGTCATAGCAAGCACTTTCAGATAAGATCACCTATTTACAACTCATCTGATTTGTCCACTTTTCAAATGTTCAGATTATCAAATTGATTATACAGATTTTGGAACTTACGGATTGAATTGATTTTTAATTTTTATCTTTTAGAGAAGGATACGTCCTCTATTTCTTGAATATTTCCAGCTGTTCAACTTAAAAGAACAAATTTCCACAAAATGGTAGAAACCTGGCGGATTCACCCAGAACTCATCCGAATCCACCAATATCTGAGGAAAGTAACCGAATTGCGCCAGAATTTGAAAAGATATTCAGTGACTCTTAACAATCTTTGGAAACTAAGTAAACTCATCACAAACTAAGAATTCATTGATGAAAAATGCACTGGAAAATAATTATTATTACTTCCTAGAACTTAGCGATATGACATTGAAACCTCTTAAAGATATAATGGGTTCCGAATCCTAGAGAAATCACAAAAAATTCAAACAAAATTCAATGAATTTCGATAAATTCACTAACGTATTCGTTGGAGTTCAGCAAGAATTCCATATATGAGATTCAGAATTTTGTTTTTGGAGAAACAAGTACGATTTATGTGAATAGTATAAATATTGAAATATGACATTAACTAACCTAAATTGGTACAGACAGAACGAAACTAAGATGTTACAAGGAGAAAGTCAATTCTAGACTTGAATAAATCTTTTATACTAGACATAATGGCCCATGGCACGATTTTCTCGTCCCATTCCATATACCAGACAGAGCACTGGAATGAGATATTTTTTAATATACAATTTCTAGGTTCAATATTGAACATTATTGATTTCATGTTTTCTTATCATTATCATTGTTTATAAAACAAACCAAGAGTTCAACATGTTCGATTACTGATTCATTTTATATTATATCGAAATTATGTTGAATTATTTAAAAATACAATCTATGATATGAGACAATCGCTTTCAGATTGGTATTCTAGAATGAATTTATCTTGAACATGATATTCAATATCTCAATCACATTATATTCGATCGCTGGCTATAGATAGGTTTTTTTTATTAACTATGGAAGAATACAAATGTCTTTGATATAGAAAATAATAAAAGTATTCATTTTGAAAGTAAAAGACCAATAGATAAAAACCTAATTGTTTAATTGTATTGAACTGGAAACTAAATTTTTATTTTTTAAATGAAAAGTTATTTCATTTGATAATAATACCGCAGAAAAATAATCATAAGATAGAAGAAGATATTTGATTTTTCAATGGTTGTTCTCATTTGTAAGACAATATCTTCCTATCCTGTAATATTAATTATTGTCTTTTTTTTTCTCAAGTTCTAGAAAGACAAATCTATATAGAACGACTCAAAATTCATTAGACATTCTAATATAATTACTAACAAATGTTTATTTTTATCTTTTCTATGAACATACGTATGATTTTTTTTTCTCATAAATATTTCATTCCACTTCAATGATTCTATTGATCAGCCAAGAATTCTAATTTTGTATATAATAAATGCATTGCTCTGACTAATTTCAAATACTTCTTTTCTAATTATAACATTTCTTTGGTTTTGTTGTTTGCATAAAAAAAATATATTTATAGACGGCTTACATATGGAATTCATTTGGTATTCATCAATAGCGAAAAAAAAAAAGAAAAGAACAGAGACTATACATGAGAAAGTAAAAAGAAAAACTTGACGGACATAGAAACAATATTAAATAGAGATCTTTAAATAAATTAAATATTTGGCAAATGAGTATAATTTTCTCCATATGCTAAACGTTTTGTTTGTGGTGATGGTTTTATTGATAAATCTGGATCATTAATAACGCTTGTTGTTGGTACACTTGGATGTTGAGCATTTCCAAAACGTGTTTTATTGACATTTATACGTTGATCAGGATCAAGATAAATTTCAAGTCGACTTGGTCTTAAATAGTCTCCGGGATTATTTGATGTTGAATGAACATTAGAATATTGTGCTCCTGTTATGCCCGTCAAACTTGGTAGAGTTTTCTAAAGAAAAATTCAATGATACATTTATTATTTTGGTTTTTTTTTTGTTTTTAGTTTTTGTTTTTAATTGAAGATTTTCTAATGATGAAATAGTGCAAAACAACAGGTGTACGGAAAAAAAAAAATATCGTGAGGAAAAAAAAAATAAGCAATTGCAAATGGGAAAATTTCCTCATACAGATATTGGGTAAATGAAAATTGCGTCCACCACGATCATCGGACGCTGGTGTATTATTTCCATCATGATCTTGATTGCGAGAAAGGGATGGAAAATGCTGGAACAAATTTTTGTTTTCTTTATTTTTTATTGTATTAAATAAACTTACTCCTTGATTTGGTTGTTTTGTACCAGTAGCATAAACATTATTTTGAATTTTTGCTTGTTGTTGTAATAGTTTTTGTTGTTCACGATGTAAATGTTTTTGTTGTTCTTTTCTTTCACGTTCAAATTCATTAGTAAAACCATCAAAATATGGATGTTGTGATAGTTGACCACATGTTAAACGTTTTTCAGGATCCATTACCAAACAACTCTAACAAAAAAGAAAAATAATAATAATAATTATTATTATTATTATTATTTTTATTTTACTTTCATAAAATCAAGACTTCGTTCAGATACATAGGGAAATTTTTGTTCTAATGGTTCAATTGTATCTGGTTCAGGAATGTGTACATTTTTATAATGAGGATTACTTTTTAAAATAGCTACATGCTTATCGATAAGATTACCTGAAAAAAAATAATAGAATAATATATTAGAATTATTAAAGAAGTTCTTTTTTTTTCTTTTATTCTTACCAAGAGTTTTACGAATTAGATAAAGTTGATCAACATCCGATTTACCCGGCCATAATCTAGATAGGAATAAGCATAATAATAAATAGAAACGACAAATTATTAGAACTTACGGCACTCCCGAATACAATTCACAAAAGACACATCCAATGGCCCAAACATCAACAGCTGTACCATATTGTCGATCTCCAACCAATAATTCCGGTGCACGATACCATCTTGTAGCTATTTGATTAAAGCATCTCATATAATAATCTTTTTATCTATTTTCTATAAATTCTAACTACTTACCAACATAATCAGTCATTTCAAGTTGTTGAGCTACATCAAAAAAAAAAAAAGAATACAATAATATATCTTCTCCTTAATCTAATTTAAAATACGCACTCATCAATCGTGCAAATCCAAAATCACATAATTTAACTATATTCTGTTTCGTTATAAGAATATTTTCCGGTTTCACATCAAAAATAACAAAAAAAAAAAAATATATAATTCAACTTTTTTTAATTCAACTTACCACGATGAATACACTACAAAATAAAAATTTATCAATTAAAGTTTCTTTATAAAATTCTTCTAGGTTTTTTTTTTTCTTTGTCTTACATTATGTCGATGACAAAACTCTACGGCATTCAATACTTGATATGTAATTTTTTTTATCATCGCTTCCGGTACGCTAAAAAGGTAAATATTTAAAATAAAAAAAAAAAATAATAAATTAAATTCATACCCATTTCGATGTGATTCAAGTTCATCAAGTACCGTTCTATCACAATATTCAAATACCAAATGAAGTTTATGTTTTCGTTTTGTTTTAAATACTTCAATGAGATTCACCAGGTTTTCATGTTTCAAATGCTAAACAAAAATAATAATATACGAATGTTAAAAGTAAAAATAATTTTTTCAATAAATTCTTTTTACTTTTAACATTCGAATTTCTCGCATAGCAATACGTTTTATTGCTGGATCATCGTCAGATTCAATAAATTTTTTAATGGCTACTGTTTCACCTGTATCTTTATTGCGACATTTAAAAACTTGACCTAAAAATATATTTCATATTACAAAAAATTTTTTCCATAAGAAAACAAAAAATATATATTCTTACCATAAGAACCTTCACCAATTTTTTTGATTTTTTCATACTTATCCATAGACAAGAATTTATTTATTCAAATCTAGATTTTCAAATGAAATAAAGTAAGAAAAAAATGAAAAAGAAGTAATATATTTGATAGGATTCATTAAAAATGAATCGAGTTTATAAGCAAAAAAAAATAGAAAAAGAACAAGTGTTTATTATTTCACATATTAAATATATCTACGCATATTTTTTCATTCATTATTCATTAGATTGTCAATGTCACACCTTTATATTGTCTTTCAATAATTTTTATTTTATTTTTTTACTCATTTATGCATTCCAATAATCTTTCATTCATTGGTTAATAAAATAAGCAATCATTATGACATATAGAAGTCTATATATTTATTTTCCTTGCTTGTCTTAGATATAGAAAAAGTCACAATACTTATACATGCAATAATCCAACAATGTCGCTTGTAGTTCTGTTAATTACGTATAAAATAATATTTATATATTAAATAAAAATTAAGACAAAGATTTTTCTTGTACTTCAATAAATTTACTTATTCTTGTAGTCTTATTCGTATCGATGATTTAAAAGAAAAACAAATTTTTTATTTATAACTAACGTACTAACAAAAACTACAGTGATGATCAATTTTGTAAATTGTTCAGACGTCTCTATACTAAGAAAAGTCAGTCATTTATATGATTTCAACACTCGTCGTAATGGCATTAATTCTGGTAAAGTTATAAATGTTTCAATTGTTGTGATTGTGTTGCTGTTGTTATTCACATCTTAAATTGATATTGCATACTGTCAATAATAGCAGTTAAATTGTATTTGTGTTCTAGGTCTTACTAAATAAAGTTTCTGAGGAAAAAAACAAACCGATGATATTCATCATGTTGATTACTATTACAATAGATCTGAAGAGATTAACATATGTTCTCTTAGTCAATAATAAGTATACTTATATCGAGAGATATTATATAGTTATTCTTCAATATCAAAAATATTACAGAATGTATATCATGAATTCGATAATTCTTCTATACTATAAGATTAGAAATAATTATTTAGATACTCGAAAATATTAAAATTGAAATCAACAATAATTTCGAATTAAAATTCGTGAGATGGAAAATATTTCTAACACTTCATTCTTATTCAATATGTTGTCATCAGATGATTTGATCTTTAGCTTTCAATCGAGAATAGAACGATGATTTTGTTAAGTAGTTTAAGTTATGACTTTAAATAAATTGAACAAGATTATACATTATAGTTATTTGCGAACATCATCTCATGTGATTTAACCAGAAAAAAAACTGCCATTATAGTAGCAAACAACCAGCCGTAGTTTGATGCATAAATAGTCTCGTATTCTCTAACTGACAGTTGTTTTCTGATTGACACTTTACTGCTGGTATAGCAGTAATAATACGAACAAATATACGACATAAGATATATATCTATATAGATTTTTAATATTTTCTGGAGATTAATCTATGATCTGTCATTGTTAAAATAACATCATATATCAGAATGTATAACACATTGGAAACAAGATGGCAATTGATTGCATAAAGAAAAACAAGAAATATAGCTGTTAGACAACGATTTGGCAAAGTAGATTCATTAATTTTACTGATAAGATGTATGTTAAAGAAGTAAAAATTTTGACAATTATTATCGAAACATAAATAATTGTTATGAATGTTAAGAAAAAAGTTTAGTCATTAAATAGAAGTTTAAATGTTTTCCTCTTAGGTCAATAACAATATATTCACATGGATTAATATTATTTTTGTCGTAATCCTACTCAAAGTTCAACCATGACTTTTTCAAATTGATTGAGTCAAAGAGGTTTTTGTCTTTCTATCACAATTCTTTTTAAGAGAAATAGTCAAATGAAAAATTTTAAATGATGTAATTTTGAAACAGAAAAATAAAATATATGAAGAGTTCATTGTCAGCAAATCGATTTTTTATTTTTACGATTAATTTTTTTGTATTTCTTTGAATATTTATTACATAAATCAATAAATATTTTTGATATATCTAATATTTTTTTTTTGTTTTTTATTCTAATTTAGATTTTCAAGGTTGTTAAACTTTTAAATATTGTTAATTCATTCGATTAAATATCTTATAAAAATGATATTAATATTTATAACAATTTTTATTATGTTCAATAATAGTTTGATAAAATTCATAATGATCAATTAAATGTTATTGTTGTATATTAATGATTTCTATGTATATTCATCTAACATGATGTTATGTTATTTATATTCTATCAAACGAAAAAATTATTTTTAATATAATCGAATTAATGTATATATGTCAATATTAAACAACATTGATTAATCGATTGTTGACTAAAATAGAATCCTTATTGAAAAAAATTATCTAGTTAGTTGAATGATAAATATATAGTTTAAGTTTGAAAGTTTTATTTTCGTATTAGTGAAAGTAGATATAGAAGATGTTCAAAATTTTTAAAACCTTCTGAATAAGTTTTAAGAAAGATTTAAGATGAATTTTAAAGAAATTAGAATCAATATAAATATTAAATTTTTATTGTTAGAGTTAATGATATGAATGAGATCATTGTTCACCTTTTAAAAGATTGTATTTTTGTTTTTTACATGTCGTCGACAATTTTGTAATCTGCATAAGAGAATCATATTTATCTGTTATAACTACAGTAGTCACAAAAAGTCCGATTACTAGGTAAATATTATCTAATCTTAAATCTTTTTGCCTAATATTTACGATAAATAGAGCTCAGTAAACCCTGATTGCAAGCATCAATTCGAGATCAATCAGCTTAAATGTATTGGATTTAGACAAAAAAAAACACTGTTTTACTTCCTTGAACTTCAAAAAAGGTTTTCTTGGTATTTTTTAGATTTGCCAATATTTTGAAACGTTTATATCAAGTCTTTTATTGACAAACAAAGTTTCACAGGTCTATACTATATCACAGAGAACAGACTTCAATCTGCTGTGATCTGGATAGGCGGTGATGTTTCTATTATCTTGGTCTGTCCTCGCATAGATTTTCACTCCACCGATGACTATAATCATGAAATTTTCACGAAATATTTGATTAGAGTAGACAATTAACTGTAGGACATTTCCAACTAAATGGTTGAACATAGTTTCGATTACAGATTACTTTGTGATGAATCCCATTAACTCTCATACTAAAAGTATTCAAAGATAGTTTCATAAAGTAAACAAACTATAATCGTTTGACATGTAGTTTTTATCGGTGATAGAAGCAGCACTGAACTCTCAAATGAGTCGTCAAACACTCGCTCGAAGATTTTTTACTAATGCAGAAATATTCTTGTCAAAATAAAAAGTCTCTGTTGACTTGCTAGGTTCTTCGTTTGAAGGTTGATCTAGTTCTGATAACCGCTTGCAATCCAGGCTTCATTAAACTCTGTATTTGTTGTCAAAATATGGAACTAAACATTTTATATTTAGATACTGTTTTCGTGGTAGCGGAATTTTTGACGACTACTGTATATGTTATTGTTATGAACTAACGATATATGTATATTTAGTTCCTATCGATTACAATCTTTAGTTTTGCCCTTGACAAACTTTCCATAGATTGATCCTTCCTTCGAATTATAAATACATGTGCGCAATAGATAGAATTAAATAAAACAAATTATATACGAAAAATATGTTATAAACAAATTAAGATCAATAAAAATGTTAGACTTAAGTTAAAATCTCTTATTGTGTAGACTACAATTTTCGCTAAGAATTCTATTATTGCTTTAGGAACTATTTTATTCTTCTTTTTTTTTGTTTAAATGGTTATTCATGAAATTGCCTCAACAAGTGACTATTTCTTCAAGTTCTACTATAGATCGTCATAGATCTAATACCAAGTAAGTGATTTCTGTTGTCTAATTTATATGAAATAATTATAAACCGTCGAACAATCATATAAAATCAAAGAAAAAAATCGTAAAGCTTAAATCTCATAACTCGATCAATTGTAATTATATGTTTTAAAATTTGCAATAAAAAAATTCTATTTAACTTTATACAAAATACTTTGTTAATCGTATAAATAATTAATTTTCGGAAAAAAAAAACTAAGTTTGTATCACTTGTCTATTTTCATACATAGTCTACATACAAATATTATCATTGGTTATGATAAATAGTTTACATGAAAATATCGAATAATTTATTATGAATGTAAACAAATAGAAAATGAATTTGTTCTTGATTTATCTTTAATAAAATCTATTCGATTATTTTTCTCTTTCAAGAAAAACAAGAATATCTTTTACAATTTCGTTGTATTTAATATACATTATAGTTTGAATATATTGATATTGTATCATTAGAAGTTATGTAACCTGACTAATCTATCATAGTAACAGAAATATGATCATAATTGAAGGTAAAACAGATTTTTTTTAATATTATGAACCATTATAATCGAAATATTTGTTAAATGAATGAAACAAAAACTTTTTGATAATAATTTATTATCAAAAAAATAAATGGATGAAGAAAGCAGAAAAAAAAATATGCTAATAAAAAACTTTTATTGAAGTCATTTTAAAAAATCAATAAAAACAAACATATTGTTGATTTTGTCAAATACAAGAGAGTTATAGAAAAATTTATTTTATTTATTATTGGTTTAAAAGGTTTCTTTTCATGCCAATCAGGCAATAGTGATTTTATGTACATTTTAGGTAGAAGGTTGGCAAACAGTGAAGTATTCTTTTGATTTTTTTTATTTAATAAAAGTCTAAGTATTGAAATAAGTCGAATTTATCATTGATATATATTTATTACTATGTCAATACTTTATCCATTTCATAGATATAGACAGCGATATCAAAAAAAACTTCTTGATAGACATGAAAAAATTATTTTATGCTTGATTAAAGTAACACATTTTATTCATTAGAGAGTATTTCATTGAAGAGAAGCGTTACCAATGTTGTAAATGCGGACATTTTTTTTTCTCTTGTATTGGTAATTCGTCGACTATTAAGTATACTTATTTATCGGTT